GCTGTATTTGAGCCATTGTTACAACCACTGTTCCACTCCATTTCCTTAAACATCTTCCTCTTTTTTTCTGATCCTGTACATTACCAAGCTTGATGTCATTTTTCAGAGACTGGTCCTTACTGATAACATGTCTAAAGTAAATGAGATGAAGTTTCACTATATTAATTTCTAAGGAACTTTCCAGTTGTACTTCTCCCAGGACAGATTAGATTTTCTTCTGGTGACCCACGGTATTGAATTCTTTGTCATGATTATAATTCAAAGACATCAGTTCTTCTATGGAACTCCTTATCCATTGTCTTATTTTTGCGTGTGTATATGATTTAAAATTCCATGGTTTGACTCAGGTATAATTTAGTCCTGAAGGTGATAGCTTTGCCTTTTAGTACTTTAAGCAGAGCTTTTTTCAATAGAGCTTGCTAATGCGATATATTTCATTTCTTGATAATTGCCTCTGCAGTTTTTGTTTCTAGACCTAAATTAAATTCATTCTTGACAATCTTTTCTCTACTTATCATAATTTACTTAGTGGACCAATTCTGAGAAGTTCTGTTTTCTTTATGTTGAGGTATAATCCACATTGAACAAAGTAGTCTTTGTTCTTCATCAATAAATGTTTCATGTCTTCATGCAAAATTGTGCAATTTTCATATCACAGATTGGTGGTAAGTCTTCTCCAGTCCTGATGTCGTATCCAACAAAACATACAGATGAATTAAATATGATGAAAATATGCTACTCTGACTCACACTTTTTTTTTTTTATTTTAAAAGCATCCCTTTCCTTGTGCTGTTCCAATAATCCCCTCTTCATCTTCTTTGGTTACAGCAAGCAAGGTCCCACTCGAATGCACTTACGTGTTCTGGAATTCCTATACTTCTAATTTTATCTGTAATTTTTTGTTGTATATAATTTACACCAGTCTAATGCCTTTGACTTGCCAATAAAACACAGGTAAATATCTCTCTAGTATGCTCTCCTTTCAACCAAGATCCATTTGGTGTCAACAACAATATAACTTGTTCCATGTCATCTTTTAAATCAAGCTTGAAGTTCTGGAGGTTCCCTGTCAATATACTGCTATAATGATTTTTTGCTATAATAATTTTTATATTGTTGTTGTTATGTGCCATTGAGTCACTTGTGACTCATAGCGATCCTACGTACAACAGCCCTAAACCCTGCTCTGTCCAGTGTCAATATCACTGTCTCTGACACACCCAACCTGGTTACCCCAGTCACTGAATCAATTCACCTCATAGAGGGTCTTCCACTCCTACATTGTCCCTTCACCCTCCCAAGTATGACATCCCTCTCCAAGGACTGGTCTCTTTTTGCAATATGTCCCAAGTATGTCAGACGAAGTCTTAGAATCCTTGCCTCGAAGGAGCAGCCTGATTTAACCCTCTCCACAATGAACCTGCTCATTTTCTTAGCAGTCCATGGTACATTTAATACTCTTCTCCAGCACCACAGATCAAAGGCATCAATTCTCGTTCTGTCCTCCCTCGTCACTGACCAGCTCTCTGATGCATAGCAAGTGATTGCAAAGACAATGGCCTGTATCAGGCACACCTTAGTCTCCAGAGTGACACCATTGGTCTTCAGTACACTGGAGAGGTCCCTAAGAGCAGACTTTGCCATTGCAATATGTTTTTTAATATCCTGACTGCTGGTGTAAAGAGTGTTGACTGTGGAACCAAGCAAACAAAAACTATGAACAATCTCAGTCTCTTCACCATCCATCCTGATGCTGCCAATTAGTCCAGTGGTGAGAATCTTTGTCTTTTTTAATATTGAGCCTTAATCCATATTTAAGGCTGCAATCCTTGACCTTCTGCAGCAAGTGCTTCAGATCCTCCTCAGTTTCAGCAGGCAGGATTGTGTCGTCTGCATAACGTAGAATGTTGATGGATCTTCCACCAATCCTAATACCACACTTCTCATAGAGCCCAGCCTCCTGGATAATCTGTTCTGCATATAGGTTGAAAAGGTATGGAGACAGGAAACATCCCTGGCAGACACCCCTCCCAGGTTTGAACCATGCAGTGTTTCCTTGCTCTGTTCTGACTACTGGCTCTTGGTCCAAGTATAGGTTTCACATTAGCATGGTCAAGTGTTCTGGGATTCCCATTCTTAGAGTTAGCCACAGTTTTTTATTACCCACATAGTCAAACGCCTTTTCATAATCAATGAAACACAGATATACATTCCTCTGGTCTTCCCTGCTTTCAGCTAAGATCCATCCAACATTAGGTGCAATATCCCTAGTGCCATGACCCCTTCTAAACCCACCCTGGACTTCTGGCAGTTCTCTGTTGATGTGTTGTTCCAGTTGTTTTTGGATAATCTTCAGCCCAATCTTGCTTACATGTGATAACAATGATACTGTTCTATAAATTTCCACACTCTGTTGTGTCACCTTTTTTTGGAATGGGGACAAATATAGATCTCTTCCAGTCAGTTGGCCAAGTGGTTGTCCCCAAGATTTCTTGGCACAACTTGGTGAGTACATCCAGGGAAGCACCTGTTAGTTGAAATATGTCAATTGATATACCATCTATTCCTGAAGCTTTACTTTTTGCTGATTCCTTCAAAGCAGCTTGAACTTCCTTCAACATTCATAGTCTCTTGCTTATATGTTGTTTTATGAAATTCTTCTCTGTCTACCAATTCCTTTTGATACAGTGACTCTGTATACTCTTTCTACCTTCTGTTAATACTTCCTGGACCATTTAATATTCTGCCTAAAGCGTGTTTAATTATAGCAACTCAAGGTTTGAATTTGTTCTCCAGTTCCTTGAACTTAAGAAATGCTGAGTGAGTTCAGCCCTTTTGATTTTCTGACTCCAGCTCCTTGCACATTTCATTGTAATATTTTACTTTGTCTTCTCAAGCTGCCTTTTGAAATCTTCTGTTCGGCTCTTTAGTATCTTGGATTCTTCCTTCTGCTTTGGCTTCTCTGTGCTCCAGTGCAATATTCAGAGTCTCCTCTAACATCCGTTTTGCACTCTTCCTGGATATTTGGCACGTTTACTAGAGTGTGGTACTTACTACATTCTTCTATAGCATTTCTTTAAAATGGACACAAATATATATCTCCTCTAAAAAACTGGTCAGCAGCTCTCTTTCTCATTTCTTAAGACAATTATGTTATTCCAGCATTGCATTATATCTTGATCTTTATTCCATCAACTCCTAGGATGTTGTTTCCTACAATGTCTTAACAGTAGGCATTACTATTACAAATATTATTTAAAACCTAATAAATAAGCAACATTTTCTAATAACTGGAAATCATTAAAAATGTTTTTCAAGTTCCCTTTGGTATAGCTATGCCATTTGGAAGTCTGAGCATTGTCTAAAAAATTCTCAGTTTTATCTATAGCTTATGAATAATGTAGTAAAAATTTTCTTATTGTTTTCTACAGATTTCTAGTCAGTAAATATAGTACAATATGTTTGTTCATTAATCTTATTTTCACTTTTAAAATCAGAAGACATCAAACATTTCTCACTATTTTTGTGATAAGAAGTAGGGAGGTATGTTATTCTATTAAGGAATTATTACTTTGCAAAATGATACTCACATTATAAAAAATAGTGTTTAAAATGGACAGGAGAATTCCCTTTCCTCTAAATTTGCCATCTCTGAAGCTGAAGGATCTCTTACCTTTGGCTCTTCATGTATTTCTACACCTTTTCATTCTTGTTCTCTTTGGAAGATGCTTGTCTTTGAGACCCACAATTTTTGTTTCCATGTTGCTTTGATTTATTATTGCTGTTAGGTGTTGTTGAGCCGACTACATCTCACAGCAACACTATGAACAATGGATCTTAACCTTGCTATAGTCTGTACCATCCTCATAATCTGTTATATACTAGAGCCCATTGCCAAAGTAATTGTGTCAATTATCATTTTGAGAGTCTTCCTTTCTTTTACTGACCCTCCATCTCTCCAACCATGATGTCTTTTTTCCAAGGACTAGTCTCTCCTAAGAGCATTCTAAGCATGTGAGATCAATTTTCACCGTCCTTTCCACTAGAGAGTAGTGCTCCTCTCTGACACCACAACTCAAAGGCATCAGTTCTTCTATTGTCCTTATTTTTTGTCCAAATTTCAGATGCATAGAAAATAATTGAAAAGACTCTAGCTTTACTGTGTTTTTCTTAGTCTTTAAATTGGCATGATTGTTTCTTAGTACCTGGATAGGCCCTTGACTGCAGATTTTCCACAACACATCTTTTTTTTTTTAATTTCTTGACTACTGGTACATTGTTAGTCTAAGCAAGATAAAATCATTGATAACTTCAATCTTTTCTCTGTCATGTTGCCTATTGGCCCAGTGGTGAGGATTTTTGTTTTCTTAGTGATGCTATCAAGCCAAAGGTGGAGACTCTAATTCACGGCCCTTAGGGCCTGTCTTTAATTATTTTTATTGAAACATTCTTCTAGGTCATATGGCCCTGGTATGTCTACTTGCTGTACAGTGGTTGCTATGAAGCTGACCACTGTGACACTAAGTTGTCAAATGTGATAATGGTTACCCATAGTGGACAGTATTTGTTGGAACTCCCCAATTTAAACAAGCTTGGAAGCAAGAGTGGCATCCACTTCTGAAACCCTACAAACCTGGAGAAAGGACAGAAGTTATATAAGTGTCCAGGTCTTTTATTCATAGGGTCACTATGAGTTCCTACGACTCAACGACACTTAACAACAACGACAGTGTTGAGATAAAGAAGAATGGCTAGTAGGGCTGCTGACTGGCGATCCAGCTCACATTCTGGCTCAGGCAGATGGGAACAGAGGATGGTCTTGCTTTGATTTGCTGAACAAGAAATTTATGTTAAACATCCTTACTTCAAATACTTAGGAGGTAGAGAATCTCATTGTTTCAAATTATCCTATAAATAGTACCATTTGATTGGGTAGTCAGTTTTACTTTAATGAATTTAACTGAAAAGAAAGAATATCAAATGATGCTAAATTAGTAGCGATGGCTTTATGTATTATGGAAGTTGGTATTTATGACAGGAAAAACTTGAGCAAGGAGAAATTATGTACAAGTGCCCTGAAAATAAGGATAACCCTTCATTGTGTGCTTCATGACTTTAAAAATATCAAGAAATAGTCACATTGTGCTGTATTCTGTGAGTGGAAAAATTTTTGTCTCCTAAATGGGATTTTGTGGTGCATCGGAAATGTTTGTGGAAAAGAGTTAGTGTGTTGGTAATGAAGGAGTAAAGCTATGACACTGTGAACTGGTAATGTTGTTGTTGTTGTTATTGCTGTGTCATCGAATTGAACATAACTCATAGAGACCCTATGAACGAAAGTTCTGAACCCTGTTCTATCCTTTTACCATCCTCACACTTCCTGACTGAAACACACGAGACCATTGCAGCAGTCACTGAGTCAAACCCCCTGTTTGCGAGGCTTCCTCTCCTTCGCTGACCTTTTACCCTTCCCAACATCATGTCTTTCTCCAAGGAATAGCCCCTCCTAGCAACATTCCCAAAGTATGTCAAGTAAAGCCTCATCATTCCTGCCTTCAAAATATGTTTGTTTACTTGGAGATTCATGGGATGGTCAGTGTTCAAAAACATCAATTCTTTCTATGTCATCCTTATTCATTGTCCAGCTCTCAGATGTATAACAAGTGATCAGAAAGACCACAGCCTGAATTAGATTCACCTTAGTCCTCAAAGTGACACCACTACTCCTCAATAATTTGGAGAGGTCACTAACTGCGTATTTTTCCAGTGCAATGTGTCTCCTTATTTCCCGACTGCTCGTACAAAGGATGTTAATTGTGGATTGAAGCAAGGGCCAGTAAACTAATAAAGTGATATTGTAATGTTTGATTACTGCACTTTCTACATACTGAGAATATTAATTTTTTTACATAAAACCTGTAATTTTGTTTCATAGCTTGGTTTTTTAATCAAATATTTATTCCTTTTCCTTCTCTTTTCATTGCTATTCTAGAAAGATATCTTACTTTCTGAGTTGTCTCATGCAAATACTGAGCATGATAACTAGTCAAGATTATGATAAAGCAATATTTTATTTATCTCAGTCTAACAATAGTGACATGAATGCATATATTTGAATCCACTATGTGTTCTTTCTAAAAAAATATTTGCTAACATCAAAGGAAATTCATTCTTTAAAACTAATCAGAGAATTATATCTGAAAATAGAACTATCACATTGGGGTGAGAATTTTTTCACTGAACTAGAGTTTAAAATATCTGGGAACCAAAAAAATATTTAGTTTCTAAACTCATATTATAGAATGGGAGCCTGGAAATGCAAACTCACAAATTAATAAAGAGGAAATTGCATTGATCATCTATTAGTTGAAAGAAATAAAGAAAACATGTTAACCAATACATAATATGTTGTTATTGTTTTTGTGAACCATAGAATTGGAACAAATCCATAGCTGACCCTCCAGAAGATTTTCAGAGGCATTAATTGCACAGAAAGAGACAGCCTATCCTTCTTCTGTGGAGCAGCTGGTGGCCTCGAACTATATGCTTTTGGGATTACAGTGCAGTCTCTTGTCACTAAGCCACCAGTGTTCCATATATACTAATATAAGACCCTTCAAACCAAGATCTATGCAGAAGATTGAAAGGTGATACATGTATTCATAGCAGCAAATTGGGGCATGTTGTTGTTATATGTCGTTGAGTCACTTGCAACTCATACCAACCCTATGTACAACAGCTCTATACCTTTCTCTATTCTGTGCCAATCTTATTGTCTCCAACACACCAACCCTCCTTACCCCAGTCACTGAATCAATCCATCTTATCTCTATGTGCTGTCCCTCCACTCTCCCAACCATGATGTCACTCTCCAAGGACTGGTCCCTCCTTGCAAGATGTCCAAAATAGATCAGGCGAACCTTTAGTATCCTTGCCTCCAAGGAGCAGCCTGGTTTCAAACTCTCCAAGACTACAAACCTGTTTGTTCTCCTAACAGTACGTGGCATATTCAGTACTTTTCTCCAGCTCAAAGATGTCAATTCTCCTTCAATAATATCTAGTCATTGTCCAGCATTCTGATGCATAGCGAGCAATTGCAAAGAGCATGGTCAGAATCATGTGCACCTTAGTCTCCAGAATGACATCGTTGCTCTTCAGTACTTTGGAGAAATATCTGACAGCAGACTTTCCCATTGTGATTCATCTTTTTTCATTTTATTAATTTTAATGAACATTTACAGAAATTGTTTTTATTTCTAGTCATTCATTGTTGCACATTTCTCCCTGCCCACCCTATCCCTAGTTCGCTCTTCTCTTTGAAAAGTAAAAGAAAAAATTCTTTCTTTGGAATACAATCCCCATATACCCTCCCCCACCACCCTGAGTACACTCTACTATGCAACCTTAATTCTGGACTCTTGTGATAACCATAATACCCTATCATATATCACTTTTAAATTGTTCTCTCCCTCATC